ATGTATGACTTTCATAATAGGCTTGTTTGACATTAATCCAAACTGATTATGAGAAATATTTGAATCATGTCTTACTCTATGTTCAATTATTGTCTTCCATAATTTTAATGTATTACACATTAACTAAATTTCTATATAATTTGCAAACTCTTGTGCGTCCCCTTCTTTTTTTAGAAATGGGGACCAAATCACTCTTCCCCCTCTCCCCGCCATCTTTTTAGCTTTTAAAATAATATTTAAAATTTTAGTAAACCAAGAAATTCCCAAATATCGTATATATTTTCACATTTCTATTGGGATATGTAGATTTTGGGAATTGAGCGAGATAATATTATTGAGTAGCAAAAGGGATACAAATACATAATATAAAGTGTATAGAAAAGGAAAGATATAATACCCAAATCTTTCCTAATAACACTCAAAAGATAAAAAGAAAGGGCGTAAACTAGGAAACACATATATAAGAAACACATATATAAGAAAATAACAAGAAAGACAACAAAATAAATAGAAATAACTTCTAATAGGATATCATTAGGTCCTACTACTTTTCCCCCTTTTATTTTCTTTAAAGCCCCCTTAAGTTCTTTCTTTACTAATGCGGCAGTATAAAATAAAAAAAAAATTATTATAAAAGATATTAAGATCACTAAAGTTGATCGTATTTTTAAAAATTTCATTTAAAAGTTTATCAATATAACTCACCCACATATATTGAATATATTTATATAAGTAAATTTTCATTTTCATCTTTAATACACTTGAATTAAATCTTTACTTTTTCTCTTTATTTGACTAATTTGTATATATATATTTTTACCCTCTTAAGTATCTAATATATTATAAAAATCACTAAGAAATAGAATTCTTAGCATCATAAATAGTTCTTTTAAACTCCCTACGTGTCACCTTATATTTTTTTCCAATTCTCTAAACTTTTACATTTAAACCAATTTTTATAATATTTTTTTATATTTTATCTTTTTTTGCACATTATTATCCCACCACTAATTATTTTTATTTATATTTTTTTTTTCATTTGAAACTCCAAGTAGATCTTCTCTCATTTGTTTAATAATTTTTGTTACTTTATCCCACATAGAATTAGCTTCTTCATGAACATCCCAAACCTTAAAATATTGAAATTTGCTTATAAAAAAACTTTTATTTGTATATTTTAGGTAGTCTCATCTAATTTTATGATAATGTTTCATTATATTTTTTATCTTCCAGTTCTTCATCTTAAAATAAAAGAAACTAATAATCGATGTTGAGTACTTAAATTTTTACTTTGAATAACCTACAATCTTTACATTCTCAATGATCTCTTTTTTTCATAAGAAAATAATCAATTTATGTTTTATAATATCCATTCTTATAAATAATAATATGATCTATTTTCTTAAATAAAGTATTAGCAATAACAAAATCATAAGCTAAAGCAAAATCTAAGATAGTTCTGCTTCTTCACTTAATACTCCAAAATCATAACCACCATGAATATTTCTAAAATATTATTACATGACTATGATAGTGGGGGGAAAATTAAAAAAAAACATTTACAAAGAAACAAATTAGAGTTTTAAACATTGAAACTTCAATAGAGAAGAAACTGATTACACATTCTCTAGAGCTATCTAGGCTTTATGCAAAAGAGGTTTCAAAAGAGTTTAAACAACTAAGGATAATCTAATGTTTGTTCTCATTCACAAAAGAATTGTAATCTTGTTTTTTTAGAACTATGGAGAGGAAAATTAATCAAAAAGAGCAAGATGACATAATTTATGGCATCAAAAGTGCTGAAGACTAATAAATTCCACAAAAATGTTGTAATCGAGATGTTGGGGTAAAACTCTTGTCATTGTTAGGGGGGTCCAAAGATTCAAGATCAGGGATACTGGGTTTATGGCAACTTAATTTATATTATTTTGTACCATTTACTATAAGAAATGTATGGTTTTGATAGATTTTGGCATTCATGAATATATTGTTGCTGAAGAGATAATTGAGAAAATAAACTCAAAAGAATAAAATGCCATACAAAATGTCTTGGTTCAAAAAGATTGGGAAATTCCTAGTTATGTCATATGTTTGGTTAGTTTTTCATTAGTAAATATAATTATGAAATTTGTTGTAATGTTTTATCCATTGATTCTTACTATTTTGTACGTAGACCAAAACAAATTGATAGGAATGTGTATGAGGTGGTAGAAAAAAGTTTATCATGTCTTCCAATTAGTATCAAATGTATGATGACACCTTTTAGAAAAATTCCACAAAGAAATAACAAGCAGGCAAAAAATTAAAATATCTGAATTTTAAATCATTCAAAAATGCATGCAAAATGAGCCTTATGCTTTTGCTCTTGTTGCATATATCAGAAAAACTAGAAGATTTTATGGATATCACTCAATGAACTTCTCAGTACTTTAGAAATTCAACATCAAATTGACTAGGCTCATGGTCACATGTAACCAAATATTCCTCATTATTGTATGAGGAAATGACAAACTTCATTTTTTAGTGATAAATAGCTCATGAAAGGCTCAATTCCAGAGATATGTAGAAATTGTGCAGTGCCACCCTTCTTGCTCCTAAGAAGGACTTGACATAAGGAATGGGTCTTGAATTTTTTATTGCTCAATAGCATAAAAAACAATTGTTGACTTTTAACCTTTCAATTTGATGATATGTTAGACACAATGCACGATTTAATGCTATTTTAAAAAATATATATCATCAAATCATAGTTAGGCTTGGGATGAATGAAAATATCATTTAAGAATAGAGGGGATCTTTATGAATGAGTTTTTTTGTATTTTTGTTTATCAAAATCCCTTGGCACATTCAAGCATTTAATGATCAAGTTTTAACAATTTCTAACACGCATCTATAGTTTTTTTACTTTGATAATATGTATATTTTATTCAAGCAGATAATGATTATCTTAGTCATTTGTAAGAAATTCTTGAAATTGTGAGAAATGATGTATTATTTGTTAATCTTAAGAAATGTTCTTATACTGGTAAAAGTTTATACTTTTGGAACATCATTTTTTTTTTCAAGAGTGAAAATTGATGAATTGAAAGAAAAAGCAGTTATAGAGTGAAATTAAAACCTAACACTGATGTTATAAACTATTTTGTTCTAGCTACTTTTATTTCCATGTTCTTAAAAAAATTTTTGTTTGGATTGTTCCAATTAGTGATTGTTTGAAAGCTTAAAATTTTATTCTAAATAAATTGATAATAATTTTGACTTGACTCAAAGAATATAAAATAAGCTCACATGTTTGCTTCACAAAATTTTGATGTTATTTTTGAAATAGAATGTGATGCATCCATACTTTCTATTGATGTAGTTCTAAATTAAAAATTTTAATTCAATTGTCTTATTTAATAAATAGATAAATGATATAAAATATTGATATTCTACTTACAATTTAAAGATTTATCCTATTATTCAAGCACAATTATTTTGGAGATTGTATTTGATTCATAATTTTTTTTTTTTTTTGTAAATGAACTAAGCATGGACTTTGACAAGCACTCATAACAATTAAAGTATATCATAGCAATTGTTGATTATATTTTTAGGATCACTATGTTTCCAATGTTGCAATATTTTTCTTCAAGGAGATTACCTACCAAAGTCATCATGTTGGATCAAGATGTAGTCTTTGTACCATTTTTCAAGTACACTATAAAGAATCCTTTATACTTAACTCCCATTCAATACTAAGTACCCATAAACCCCATATCAACAGGCAAATTGAGGTTATCAACCAATCCCTTGGTGATAAACTTCAATGCTAATCAGTGAATATATGAGGTATTGGGGCAGCACCATAGCTCAAGCCAAGTTCTTCTATAACTCAAGATGATAATCAACCCAATCCAAATTACCCCATTTGAAATGGTCTATGAAAGTAACCCTAAGCATACTATAAATCGTGTATCAATTCCTTATATTATAAGAGTTCATTTTAAAGGTGAGCTAACAAGTAACACCAATGAATTAAAATAACAAGAAAGAATAACTCAAGAACTATACAAAGAAGCATGCTGATGCACACTATCAACACTTGAAGTACAATAAATGAGTCTTCGTTGATGGTTTTATCTATGCAAGGAGAGGCCACCAACACCTACCACAAGGTCACATATAGGAAGATTGGTCCATGCAAACAAAGTACATACCAAATTGAATATTCTAATGGGATGGTTATTAGTCCCATGTTCAATATATTGAACATAGACCCATTGCCATGATGACCCTTTAATTAATTAATTAATTATTTATTTATTTATTATGATGATCCTTTACTTAATAATTAATCTTCTTGATAAGAGAAGGTTGATAGTGCTTAATGCTCCAACGCCTAATGATTCCAACAGCCTCTACTAATAAATAAAAGAGTAAATGAAAAACATATATTATTAAATTCTACCACTTTCCATTCACTTCAATGATCTACTCCGTCTATATTGGCACATGTAAAAAGAAGATAAATTTCAAGCATTATTATACCCATTGATGTAGATAGAAAGATTCGTTTAGAGCATGGGGTGATTTCCCTAAAAGAGAGAGGAAGAAATCTAAAAAAGAGTGAAAAAAAAAAAATTACGAACATCAAACCTTACAAAATTTAAGAAATGAAAGATTTCACTCTACTCAATAATTATGTTCAATTTATGTAATCTATTATATTGATGTATTCACATTTCTTAAGCCATCCACTTCAAATCTTTGGATAGATCTAGCATTCAACTCAAATGTCATAAAAAATGATGAGTGCAAATGCATAATCTGATGTGTGCGTGATTCAAAATTTAAATCCTTGATAACTTAAAAGATATTTAGCAAGCAAGCTATTTGATAACCACATTTAACCTTATTGTCATTATATATATATAAATTCTCCATAGGAAAATATTGTTAAACATCAATCATGCAATAACTCAAGGCATTAGTTCTATACCAACGCATGAAATACGTACCTGGACAACCTCCATAATAGTATTGACAACAATCGCCGCTGCCCTCTCGGAGTAATGGCCGCGAGCAACAATACGGTCGAAGAGCTCTCCACCCTCACATAACTCCATAACAAGATGGACAGAGTCCTGATCCTCGTATGCATCGACGAACCTTACCAGGTTAGGGTGAGGCGGCAAATGGCGCATGATTTCCACCTCCCGCCGGACATCAGCAACATCTACAGCGCTCCGCAATCGCCGCTTCGAAATTGTCTTGCAAGCCAAAGCCCTGCCTGTCTCGACGTCGGAGCAGAGACGCGTCACGCCAAATTCACCTCGGCCTAGCTCGCGGCCGAGGCGGTATTGGCGGTGGAAATCGACGATGGAGGCAGGGTTAGAAAGGACGGACACAGGGGACTTCGGGGAAATGGGGGCGACCATGGAGGAGCAGCGGGAAGGGATTTCGGTTTCGTCATCGGAGTCGGCGGTGGAGGGGAGGAGGAAGAGGGATTTGGGAGGGGGGCGAGTGGTGGTTATGGAAGGGGAGGAGTAGCACCCGCCCATTAGCCGCCGGGCGACGGCTTGTGGATTGCTTCCTTGGAAATTTAAAGCAGTACTGATGCAAACGGTTCTTCTTCTGTAGTTCTTTGTATAGAAGGAAAGGGAGGAGGGCGATAGGAGTTGGGCGGGCGTGGATTTTCTCTGGTTGGTTGGCTCCTAGCGGCGGGGTTGCTGTTAATTCCATCGGTTCTCCGCTTTCCTCTCGCCACCTTTGTCTTGAGAGGGGGATACAGGCCGATTCATATATATATAACCAGCCTGGTATATATACATAACAAGCTGGGCTTGAGTGAGGCTGCGCAGTTCATATTCCGCCCATTA